TCCCCAGAACATTATACTGAACGGATGCTTGACAGTACTTACTGCTAAATTCAAACAGCTTTCAAAGTTTCTTCGGATTTTAGATCGCTTATCCTTTGAATTTAGTCTCAACTTTCGTTTCTTTTAGTAAAAAAAAAAAAATCAGGTGAGTCACTTTTATCGAACAGCACTGTATATCTGGTGAAATCTTCCATCTATGAAGCCACAACGGTGGGGGTTAGAACACTTTTACGAGCCTACCTACGCATATGATACTTTTGTAGCTGTGAAGACTTGTGTAAAACGAAATAAACATTTGGGGAGAACTAGTAAACGAGAAATGGTCACGAATTCTTCGGTGTTTTTTCTTCTCGACTTGTTGCTACCGATAGTAAGACATCTCAGTCTGTTCTGCTATTTATCTCTTAGCTGTTAAATGGATTCATGCCATTTTTTTTCACACAAAGTAAATGAACCAAAACCGACCGTATTTGAACTCGGCTCGCTGATTTTACTTCCCGCACTGTTAACTGTTACACGACTTTCGTATATACGAAAGTTCATATGCAAGCTTTCGGACAAATGCAGACAGGCATACGTATATACCCACAAATGAATACTATTTACATTATTCGGACTATTGTCCTCATCTTTGTCGTCATATATATTATAACGTTTCGGCCGTTGTACGCTCCGCCCTTCTTCAGGTGGTTGGAATGTCGAACTCAACCCTTTATTTCGCTCACTGGGATAGACTGTTCTAGTTCTAGTGTCATGTATAAAGGATGTCAATTATCAGTTATCTCCTGTTAATTCCCCTCTCCAAGTTCTCCACTGCCTTAAGCGGGTATTGAACTCACGCTCTTTAGCTCCTGTCACTGGATCTAACCAACGCCTTTATCCACAGTGGTGACAAAGATAAGGACAATAGTCCGAATAATGTAAATAGTGTACATAATACCTCATCTCAGAAATATAGACAGACACTGAAAGGCCGAAACGTTGTAATAAATATGGCGACAAAGATGAGGACAATAGTCCAAATAATGTAAATAGTGTACATAATACCTCATCTCAGAAATATAGACAGATACTGAAAGGCCGAAACGTTGTAATAAATATGGCGACAAAGATGAGGACAATAGTCCAAATAATGTAAATAGTGTACATAATGCCTCATCTCAGAAAAATAGACAGATGCTGAAAGGCCGAAACGTTGTAATAAATATGGCGACAAAGATGAGGACAATAGTCTAAATAATGTAAATAGTGTACTAATGCCTCATCTCAGAAATATAGACAGATACTCAAATGAATATTTACCAATTCCATCGTTTGAGAACATTTATATTTAATTTTTTTTTTTGCGGGGGGGGGGGCACTTGTAATTTTTTGTTTATTTATGATTTTGTTTTATTTTATTAATAATTAAAAAAAAACCTTTGCATCGTGCTTTTATTTTCTTATGTTTGTGTTTACACAAATGTATATCTGCCTGTGAATTCAGTCTGAGTTCGATTATGCAAATGAGAAATTGTGGTTGATTGGTTGGAAAAATGTAAATCGATACGTGATAAGGCAGAGTGGATAGGGGCTCAGACAATCGGAAATGTGGGAGAAACGCAAAAGTGTTCAATGCATCGAGAATCGATTTCTTTGGAATGTAATTATTTAAATATATAATAATGAACATTCAGTAATCAAAAGCCAGTTCTGTCTGAATGGTTGTCCGATTCCTCGTCTTCGAAATATCATTTCGTGAAGAGTAAATGTAATTTGATGCGGCACCTTATTAGATCGTGTTTTGCTCAAGCAAATTGCCGGAGGGGAAAAAGAATATTCGTGTTCCAAGAAAGCAAGCCAAAATGAATTTAAAAAATACAACAAAAATCCCCTCCAGCTGAACATAATTTTGTTGTCTGAGGCAGATTATGGCACCGCTGTGGCCGCTCATTTTTTTTCATTAAATTATTGATTTCTATAGATTTCTTTTGAATCTGGAAGCAAAGAAAATCGACTTTATTTAACAGTACCATCTGTATGAGAGTATCACCTCTAATCGGAGGTACTTAGCTTTACTAGAGGCAACAAATGTGCTATTGTGCCGGAATTTGCTTGACATCAAAGAAGCCTTGTACAGAAGAGGTTTCCGGTCATCACACAGAAGTACGTGATCTCACACCTGCGTCTAGTGTTTCAAGTGTGAGAACGAGACATTTGGACGGATGATAATATAAACATCCGTTCCAGATAGTCTCGGACAATCTCTAAATAAAAAAGTCCGTGTCTCGTACGAGAGTCGTCCGGAGCTGTTCGCTTACCACTGACTGGCTGAGAGTCACTGACGGAATATTGGGGCGGGTAAAACGCTAAATAAGTTATCATTTAATCGACATTTTCACTTCATTACAATAATAAAAAAACGACAGCCCTCTGTTTGTCCTGTCGTTGGACACCTGAACGCGTCTATGACACTAGGGATAAAGGGTCAACCACTTTCTGCCAGGTTCAGGTGTAGTCTTCCACTGATTATTGATTATAAATTTTTAGCAACAGAGTTGGAAGATTGAGACTAAGCATTATTTTTGTTGGTTGCTAGTCGTGTAGACTTGCCAATGAGAAGACACTAACGGTCAAGACATTGCGTTGATCACTATCAGTTAGGTTCTAGTAATTATGAATGTTGGGCAACAGAGTGGCAGATTTAGACGACTGCGACTATGCATTATTTTGATTGGTTGGGAATCGTGTAGACGGGCCAATCAGAAGACAGAACTGTTTTTTGAAATTTTGTAATCACAGTATTTTATCGGCGAGATACGTTTCCTTTCTTAATCTCCAGCATGCACGTGTCGCATGATAACAATGCAACATATAAATGCACTAAGACAGTAACGCTAACAAAAACCGCTTCTCCAATATAAGTCTATCAACATCGTCAAAAGGGCTTTACATAGAACGTATGATCGGCACGTGGCTGAGTGGTTAGAATGTTCGGTTACTGACCAGGATACCCGAGTTCGAATCTCGCCATGGTCGATTAGTCAGGAAGTTGACCCAAGTAAGTAAATTTGGGTAGACGGTACTCTTGGATGTCGTCAATAACTGTGCTAGCATCAAGTCAAAAGTCATCGTGGCCGAAGGATTGGGCGTTTATCACGCTAGATAGTATACTCTTTCCCAGAAACTATAACGAAGATCTGCTCAGCATAGTTACAGTATAAACCACAGGTGGACTCTTTGGTGGTTGAACAAACGTAAATGTGCCTGAACAAGCGTCTGCAATAGGGATTTGCTAGCCGCCCTAATAGACGGGTGTCCTCGAATACGGTAGACGTATGAATAAGAATATTTATATATATAATACGTCGATTTATCCTCATTTTATATTCTTCTTATTTGGGTTTAAGATAATAAAATAGCGTCGTTACACTATGGCTTGTAACTTCAGTCCTGTCTCTGTAGTCAACCGTTTTAATAACCTCATCTCCACAAAATATCACTAAAATGTAATTCTATGTACTAAAATACTTTTTCTAGTAATAAGAAATAAAGTCGGATTGAAAATTTCATATATATATATATATATATATATATATAGAAGTAGTGGATAGTGGCTATGATTGGGGAATCGGAGAGCCGTGTTCGAATTCCAGTCGAATCCATTGCTTTCAGTTACTTGCTAATAACATTGGTAAAGGTATTAATCCTCTTCGTCTCCCCACCAGCTATGGGTAAATAGCAGAATAGACTGGGTTCTATAGCCTTGGATGGCAACTGTTCGTTTGGGAACTTTGTGGAACATAGTGCATCACGTCTCTGTATTCGGCTCTTCAAAAAGTGTGGTTGGTTCTGCACAAAGCCTTCACCACTATAATCAAATCATCTGTGTTTGGCTGTCGGTTCCTAGGAACTGAGCGGCTTTACACTCATACGACGGAAGAGTCCACTATATATATATATATATATATATATATATATATATATATATATAGATAGATAGATAGATAGATAGATAGATAGATAGATAGATATACACACACACATAAACGCACACAAGATGGAGAACAGGCAAACTGGCGCCATTTTAGATTTTAATTTCGGGCATGTGCGTTGTTTCTTTTTAATTTTGCCGAATGCATTTTATAATAATGTCAGTTGTTCACCATCTATGAGAAAAAGAGCGCAATAAAGCCATTCACTCCACAAGAAATTTGGAAACGACATGTCGTACTGCGTGGCATTCGCTCCGTAATCTCCAATACGAACATTTCAGAGTGTTTGGGTGTCAAATGGAGGATATTGCAGAATATTCAGAAAGAGCTCGATGAGTCTAATGGTGATTACAAAAATGTTTGGAGTTATCACTAATGATGGCGACGCAATGTCTCCATTTATCTTCTCACGGTGCCTCAGACTCAACACGAAGGCCTACATCAAGTGCCCTGAGAAGTTAATGCTGCTCTTGGCTGGTTGGTTGGCTGCTGGAAGGCCCTATATCTCGGACCAGGTCTCGACACCATACAAGCAGGAGAACACAGTTATGGCTGTCAAACAATTTCTGCGAACACATCATCCCTTACGTCTAGATATCTAACTCCTTAGTTTGCCACACCTTGATTATTATGTGTGTGTCGCAGCTGAGAGAGAAATTAACAAAATTCCTTGTAACACCAAAGATGAACTGAAGGCAAGTAATATGGAAAATATTAACCAACTTAAACGAGGAGACCGTCCAGAAGAGTTACAGGAGATTCCAAAGTCGACTGGAGACCGTGGTTGAATTCAAAGTGATATTATTGAATAAATTTACTCTTTCGTATTTCAAGATATATTCGTGTAACATTGGTAAATATATCAGCATTTTTGCGTAATTTAGACGACAATTTATCCATCGCTCTTTGTATATAGATGAAGAATGCTCTGTATCACTGATAAAGCATTTATAGATATAGACAATGGGAACATAGGAATCAAATCTTGAAACTGAGTCACCAGACACTGTTGATTAATATGCCCACCTCTTTGATAGATAGATAGATAGATAGATAGATAGATAGATAGATACTATCTGAAAGAGTTTATATTTCTGAATAAAATAAGCTTTAGACTAAAGGTCCGTAAGATTCAAATGCAAACCCTTTCAATGAATGACAACATTTTCAGTTAATTTCGCTTTTATTTTATTTTAGAATGCAGAACAAGAAGTTAAAATAAATAAATAAGTTACAGAAAACTCACATCCTATATACTGCTTGCTCGTCTTTTAAGGACTATGCCTTGCTCAATATGTACCATTTTTTAAAATTTTATTAACACATGAGTTAGTGAAATATATATAAACAACAAAATGATATTTTCTCAATTTTATTGGATATCTTGATTGTTTTCTCAGAGACGTTACAGTGAAGTCTGAAATAATATTGGCAAAAAAACTCTTAAGAATCTTTATTTTGCCGACCACTTATGTTTCTTGGACACATATTGGAGGCCAGTTTGCCAATACAACTACCAGAATGATATGAATTCTGGTGCGATAAACTATGGTAGCTGCTGTTAATCATTTTATTTTTTAGTAGCAAAGAAAGAAAGAAAACACATTAAGCAGTTTTGCTTTCGTTATCAACTCTGCAAGTAATCTCCATCAGCTGCTTGACCCATCCCTGAAGTACATCAAGTAATCTGCTTTGACCGCGGGAAGTAATGACTTTTGAAAACATTTGCCTATCGAGCAGCTGGTGGGGGTTTACTGCCAGTAAATTAGCGTTGCTTCCTTAAATGTAAAAGTAAATCCGACCTTACAGCTGTTTACAGATTCGGCGAGTCGCAATATATACAGCAGGACGATGATATTGAGATATCGAACGAGAAATAGATTCTCTATACTAGCGAAGGCTTGGAGTATTTTAGCAATCACAGGACATTATGAAGGCAGATGATACAGTTAATAACATCTCTAACGTACTTGTGTAATTAGTTGCCAGAACAGTGATTAGGAGAGATAGGAAAAAACAAACAAACCGGGAAATCATGGAGAGTCATGATCGCTGACATCCTGAATGGACATGGCGCATAGATGAAGAAAATAGCTAAGTGGTTTCTGGAATATGCTGACCAGCCATCGTTCTACGGAATATGCCAGCATATACCTGTAGTAGCTTTAGGAAAAAGAGAAAAAATACTAGTTGAGCATATGGCTTAATGAACACAACGTGTTTCATAGCATATTATACTAAAGCTGTTTCCATCTAAATTGGCTAAAAATGTTACTCGGCTTTGAGAAGCTTTCGCCATTACTTACTAAACCTTGTTTAGTTTTCTTTTTGTTTTTTCGTTTGTTTTTTTTTTACTCATTTCCACCCAAGCAAGGCAATAAAGCCACTAAGACACGAAGGCGTTACTGAGGATGAAAGAATAACAATAAGAAAAAAAAACATTATTATGCAGGGTGAACAATAAAAGACGAGCTATCAAGACAGTAGATGATTGGAATTGCGTTTAAATCTGTTCGATCAAAGTTGGCTGGAATACAAGAAACCAGAAGAGAGTTCTACGGGTGAGAAGTTTGAGAAAGGAATAAAATTGAGTCACCCGTGACGGCCAAGATCACTATTCCGTAGTAATACACCCAATTATATTAGCTCGTTAACCATTTATCCGTAAGTTATTATTTCCTAGATGTTGACAAATATGTCATTAGTAATAGCATTCTGTTGTTCATCTCTGAAACTTGTCACAGAATTTAGAAAGGGAAACGAATGAAAGTATATGCGCCGCAACTGCTCAGCCCTGGTATGGCAGTCATGCTTTATTATTACAAAAGAATGATTGGACCAAAAATGGGGTATGGTGCTAAATATGGGCTGGAGCTACACAATCATCACTTTCAAACCTTGAGTTCAAAAACTGTTCAAACAGCCTTGTGAATTACTTTTAACCTTACAACTTTTTTTCCACAGATAAAACCATGCAAGCTTTTCGCAACTGTATTGCAACTGAGATGACAAATGTTCAGACGAGCTACATTTCTTACTTCCACGAGTTTAGACATTTCCAGCTAGCACCAGCAATATCACGTACACAGAATCGAACCCTCCACAAATCCTTCCTATTTCTTTAGTAAAAAGGCAAGTCCCTTCAGAAAGCCTTCTTCCCAGGAGCAATTACTTTGTGGAACATACGCCAGAGGATATTCTACTCCGATCGCTACAATTTTAACTTATTCAACTCAACAGTCAACCATCATCTATCCTCCATAGCTTCATAAGCTGCTTTGTGCGTTTCTCGCGCGGTCTATTGCTTGAACAATAGAGGAAAAATTGGAGAATTAAACCAGCCGTATTGAAGATCGAATATCATTTTAAAAAATACCATATATGACTATTACATAAACTTAGCTTAAATTAGAACACTAGTCCACAATTACGAGGGCGCCGGGTGAAGGTCAAACTACCACGTTCAGTCACCAAAAACTGTGTAGTCTTTGTTTATTAAGCTTACATTAGTTTGGCTCCTATCCACACCTGTGGGACACCCAGTGAGACTAAATTTCTCTATTCATTAATAATAGTCAACCAATCTAACTTATTAACCTACGTTGAGACGACCGTTATATGCTAATATCATTAACTGAGCTTAGGTTCGTTTTGGATTCAAGTGAACATGATCTGGGCACCCAGTGAGAATCAAGCACTCTAATCGGTAATACAACTGCTATTGGCACTATGTAACACACTACTACTAATAGATGTATGGTCGGTTCATCGACTGTTACACCGGTTCCCCTACTAAAATCTTCTGGTGAGGAGAGGGGTGAGAAATTTGGCAGGATAAAGACAGACCTGCCAAAATGGACGAACGTTCTTGGTCTACGTCCATCCAGCACAATGAAGTAGATTCCATAGTTATGTAAGCAGACATTGAGTTGAGGATATGGTATCGCTGGCCGGAAGGCTTCCTAGTTTAGCGGCCATGGCAAAAATCCTCCCAATAGAATCAACGGCCATGTAAGTTTTCACTTTGGAGGATATTAGCTGTGATTTAACCTGGAGAAGGACAGACTTCGTCTAAGACCCGATACGAATGAATGTGTACTTTTGCTGGTTTTCAATTCAGATATGTACAGTGAACCTAGGAGCACACCTGGTCATCGGATTTATGACGACGAGGAAGAAGAGTATGTCTTATATATTATCTAAAAGGCCATGTCTTCTGAATAAAACAAATCTGAAATTTGAATTTCTTCTCCAAAATCTCAAATAAACTTTTTAGTATTTAGTAAGATTAGTTTAATGCGATATGGATAATATTTCTGATAATATACATAAAGTCATCTCTCTACACCCGTTTGCAAATATGTTTGTGTTCGGCGATTACAATGCCCAACAGGCCACAGCTCTTAATCATTTTGTCACTGACCTCACTGGAATCCAAACCCTGAATTTCTATATCACTCAATCTCTCAGGCAAGTTCTGGAGTTCCTCACGCGTTTCCCCAGTAATTCTGACGGACTCGCATCTGTTCTTGATCTCTTCTTTACTTCTACCGATGACTCATGACGTACTCTGCAGCACTGACTTCTTGGCAACTCCGATAGTATTTGTAAATATCTCTTTCCACTCTACCGTCAGCTACGAACCTCCTACTAACAGAATATATTTGTTATCAACACACTGCTTGGGACTCGTTCCGAGACTTACATCGCGTTTTTAATCATCCTGTTCAAAAATGTGCCACTGAGATCTCCTACTGTGTGAAAGTCGGCATAAAAGCTTTCAGTCCAGCACAGAAATAGCAAGTGAAACCACGATCATCTTGGTCCTCACCTGCATGCTCAGCCAATCACAGGAATCGTTTCTTCCAACTGTACCAGAACGAGAGGTCTGATTGTGACAAACGTCTCTTTGTCACTGCTGGTAATGAATGCAAGCGTGTACTCAAGGAAGAATGCTTACTGATAAAATGAAACAACTTATAACCTCTCACAATATGGTTCTAGAAATTACTGGCGGCTCCACAAGAGTGTGCTGAACAAAAGCAAGTCCCCAGTACCTCCTCTCGATGTTTCCTGCTTTCTGGAAGTCCTCCTCTGAAGTTCCTGTTTTTGAAATCTCTTGAGAACTCTCTGTACCCCCAGGTTATGGTCCTATTTGTCCCTTATCACATTTGGGCAAAATAATCGAGGCTCTAATCACCGCTGAAATGGTTAAGCATCTTACCTTTAACGACCGCCTTTCGGACAAACAATATGGCGTCCATTTCGCCAAGTCTACGGCTGATGTGTTACGGTCATCAGGGAATTTGTGTATCAAGATTCTGAACTATTTAGTTGTCGCTTTTTGAGTCTGTAGACCAATTCATCCTAAACCAATCCGTTGGGGTTGCACTCAAGTTATTGGGGTGGCGATTCCATGACAGTCAGCTTTATTTTCTTCAGTTCTCTGTTGCAAATAGTTTTTACATAGCTTATTTCGGGTCATTATCACGCATAAGCACAAATCTATCACCGATCAGACGGGTCCCAGATTGAATAGCGTGACGCTCTAGGATAGAGTTATTTCCATGTTGATTCAATATTCCTGGCACCACAAAAACAAGCCCAGATCATCACATTTCGCCCATCATACAACTATTAAGTATGGTGGATAAATCTCCATAGCATGGGGGCACAACACAAGCAGTGGTCATTGGTTCACTAGTTCTTCGGCTCACATACACTCGCCTCCAAGATACGAAGATCTCAAACTCGGATTTCTCAGTCCAGAGGACTCGCTTCCGTTAATCAACAGTACAGTTTTGATGTTTCTTCGCCCATATGAGTCGCTCACGTTTATTCAACGGACAAAGCGGTGGTTTCCTAGTAGCATAATTTACATCCAATACCATTTAGCCATTTACACCCCCTGCAGTGAGTCTTCTAATTATTTAAGCAGACCCATTAGCTCTGCTGGTTTCACTTATTTGTGCAGCAATTTGAGGGATTGTCAGATTCCTGGTTCGAAAACTGGTGATTCTGATTAACTTATCATATGTGGAAATGGATTTTGACTGACCTGATGGCTGTCTATTGTTATTTTTGCCCGCTTCCACATTTCTCACGAAGTAGTATATAAAACTTTAACTTTTCTGACTATATCTCGAAAAATATAGCCTTCACAATGTAATATGACGATGGTTTTGCCTCTTCTCAGGTAATAAATTAAACTTCTTGCCAATACTGAAATTGAATCTTCAAAATTAAAATTATTATTAATATCTTTAATAATTGAACCTGAAACAAAATACCAATTCTGAAACATATATTTAGCGATGTTTCCTCATTGGACAACGCGTAAGGTATGCCAAAAGTAACTCTGGACTCCATTGTTGAAAAATAGTGGGCTCTAAAACGGGTAAACGAAGTACTGCAATAAAAAAATGTTATTTCATATCGAATGTATCCAAAACTTTTGCATTGTGTTATATATATATATATATATATATATATATATATATATAATGCACATAAATGCCATGACTATACCTATCTACCAAATTTTTCTTTTAAAGCGCCACATGTGTCAACAAGTTATATTGGAAAAAAGAAAAGTATTCCCCAGAGTATTTGTGTGCAAGGGTATAGAGAACCCAGTTGAAAATTGGAACTTGGCTCTCCGATTAACAATTCTTAGCCATTATCCATTACACCACCCGCACATCGAAGCTTACAGTACCACTTATTCCCAGACAGTCACCCATTTAGGTACTGACCAGGCTCGACATTGCTTAGCCGGTGATCGTACGGAAACCGGTATTTCAACGTGATATGATCGTAAGCCATGGGAAATTTCAAAAATATGCGTGAAGACGTTAAAAATGATTTCATGCATCTGACGAAAATGAAAGCTCTACATCACTTCACAAATATGCGGTTGAGCCTGCGTGTGTATTTCTACTTGTGTGTGTCTCTGCGTGTTTGCGTGCGTATGTATGTGCATGTTCGTGTATATGCACGTGTGTGCTTGTTTTCACGCAGTCATGTGTTTACATGCTTATTCTTTTGTGCTTCTGAGTGTACAATCGTCTTTGTGTATCTTTGTATGTGTTTGCGTGAGACTGTGTGTGCTTATGTGGGCTCATGTTTGTATCTGTGCCTGCATATGGTTGAGAAAGCGTGTTAGTTTGTGTTTCTATTGTGTGTGTGCGTATATGTTCATGTTTTTCACGTTTCTTGTATGTGTCTCGTTGTGTCTATGTCCGTTATTGTGTGTGTGTGTGTGTGCGCTTTTGTCTGTGTATCAGTATATACTTGTTTCTGCGCATCTCTGTACGCTTGTATGCGTGTGTGTTTATGTTTGTGTGTTTGTAAGGATGTTTGTGTATGAATACGATTTTGTGCGTGCGTGCGTAATTGTGTGTGTATTATAAACGTGTCGGTGTGTGCATATAAGCAAGTGGCACTATGTAGCTCTAAGCTTTAATTCTTAAGTTCAAATAAGATTACTTTCTAAAGTTCAAAGTTTAAATATTTTCATCATGCTCGAAAACAAGCGGCGATTTATTTGTCATTCTACTAACAAATTGTTCTGCGAAATGAAATTGACGACCATTACATTACGATCGATAACTATCTGAGAAGTTTTTTTTAACAGACGACAGAAAATATGACACCGCAATCCGAAGACGGTTTGAAATAGCAAAAGAAGCTTTCCGAAAGTTTAAAAAAACGTATTAAGAATCAGGATAATTTCGTTAAAAACAAATACAAGAGTGCTCAAATTAGTACTCTTAGATGGCAGGGAATGTTGGTAAAAATTTCCTTATTGATGCAGGGGAAATTGAGCTGTGTTACTACAGAAGGATGCTGAGAATAATATAGAGGTAAGCAGCAAGAAAGAAAACCTAGAAAAACAAAAACAAATTATACTCTTAAATGAACTGTAGGAATTTCTGGAGTGTATAAAGACGCCTTGAAGAAATTGACACACATAAGACATGCTAAATGCAATAGGCGACAGAGTAAACATCAAATAATCTAGCTAACAAATTTGTGTAAATGAATGGAAACACTGGGTTTGGGAAGAATAGTGAGAATAAAAACATTGCTAAGAGCTGTAAAAGAAAGGAAATTGTGAAGAGTCATAATCACCCACGTTCTGAAAGGAGGTGGCACACAGAAGAAGAAGAAAAACAAGAAGAAGTTTATAAGCTTACCTTATACTCGCGCAAGGCCACAATTTTAGAGCCCATTTTGAGAATCGAATTTAATACATGAACACATTGTTCAGCGAAATCTCAGTTTATATGACTTACTCGAAAGATTATTTATACTAATGTTCGCATGGTACAAGGCTCAAGATCCAAACAAGGTAGAGTGTTACCATAAACGTCAACGTTAAAGCGGTAATAATGAATGATGTTTGTGATGTGAATAAAAGAGGGGTTGGTAGAATATAAGGAAGATAAATAACGATTGACCCTTCACCTGAACAGATTAAGGTTATTTTATTCATCTATATATTCGTATTTCCAAAATTATTTAGCAAAGCTTGCGCTACATAATAAATTCTCACACCACCAATTTTTTGTTATAATGTTCCCCAAATACTAGACATATGTATAGGATTAATGAATGATGTCTCTGTTGTAACCGTAAGAGTAGGGAAAACAATCGGGTTGTATAATACGTCTTCCTCTATAAGGCCACGTAAACGATTTTGAAACGAAAGCTACAAACTGGGAATTGAATATCTCCAGATATGATTTCATCTTATTGCTGGGCACTCGTATTCGAGGATTACCTGTCTACTAGGGTGGTTACCTAATCCCCATTGCAGACGCTTGCTCAGACGCATTTGTGTTTATTCAACACCCACAGAGCCCACCTGTGGTTTATACTGCAACTATGCTAAGCAGACCTTTGTTACTGTTTCTGGGAAAGAGCGTGTTATCTAGCATGATCGACAATCACGCTCAAGCCCTCGACCACGATGACTTGTGACTTTGTGCTAGCACAGCTATCGACGACCTTCTACCCGATTTCACTCACAAGGCTTGGGTCAACCCGTGGTATTGTTTTCAGGCACTTTTTAAAGATGCCGCACGCTGGAATCGACGCCTTCAATGCGATAACATTAGGAAGTCTCCTTGCTGACCATGGTCGATTTGACCATGGTGAGATTCGAACCCGGATCAGAAAGTGAACGTTTTAACCGCTTGTTCACGTGACCTAAAAATATATGTGTATCTACAGATATTAAAATAATGTTAAACGACGTTTATAACACAACAGAAAAACATGTTCCCAGTGGTAAATAAGCTAATACCGATTATCACTTGAAGGATTTGGAATCAATATACATTATGTCCTACGAACTATCTCTGTGTAAACAGGAGTGGTCTGCAAGCATAAAAGTAAGTCATTTTTATTGTTACTTTTTTGTATATAACATTAGTCTGGGTTTGTATATTCTGTAGTTGCCACCCATTTTATGTCTTCGATATTTTCTCTGGTGAGAGAAGATAGATGAACCGATTGAGTTGTTTATAACCATTATATTTCAATATCACCAATTTACTGTAATTCATGCTGAGAATATTGTTGCGACATATGGTCCTGTACCCTTGCTATTTACCTTCAGCTCCTTGATAAAATCCAAAGAAGAATCAGCAATATAATTGTTCCGGAACAGGCGACTCGGCTTCACTTTCCCACCGCCGTAACGTTGCTTCTCTGTGTCTTTTCTATAAATATGGTGGTAGGAAAGTGGCAGAAGTAGAATCGCCAGATCAGGATCAATAATATTGCTGATTTGGATTTTATCAAGGAGCTTAAGGTAAATAGCAGGGGCAGCAGTATTCTAAGCATGGACAAATGACAGACATATAGATATATGATAGATTCTGGATAGAAAAATGGTCTCGAACAACACAGTGAATCAACTTTCTTAGCAGCTGACCTAGCAATGGATTCAATGTAGTCTTTCCACTTCATGTCAACCGGAGATGTTGGCTGGAGAAGTTGCAATGAGTCACTCTACTAGAAAAACCCTAGAGGTTAGCATCAACCTTGCTGATGGAAGGAAGAAATATATATTTTTGGTTAATCCTATTTTTAATTAATTGTTTCTATTTTGTTCCGAATGTTCTTTTACTATGTCTGTTTTTATTCCTCTAAGAAAAAATATTGTACCACTGAACATATCTGTAGATATGGCAGCAATATTCCAATTTTTAGTCTGACGCTTGTAAAAAAAAAGCATATCAGAAGGAATTAATTACATTTGGAGCGCTACAAGGACTTACAATTTTTCCCGGCATCTGTGCAATATGTCCTTATATTACGATATCCATAAAATTTACTAATTCTAACATGTTTCATGATCCTTCCGGGCTATCCAGTGTCGGATTCGTCCAAAGAAACACAAGCTTTAGTTCGCATGATCTAAACGATGACGATTGAATAGTTAAAATCCTAATTACTGGAAGTTCATCGAGCAAATTGGCAGATATCTACAAAGTGGAAGACAAAACTACACCTCGGAGCGTAACAAGCAATGTTGTTGTAACATGCAACATATTGATCCAATAGTTAATCAACTCGATTCTTCAATAGCCTGAATGAAAACATCTGCTGCTACTAACCAACCAACCAACTCTTCTGATCTTTGCATTTAGCGCCAAATAAGCCCATCGGGAGTAGATAACCCAACTGTCATGATCACCTTTTCACTTGTGTGTAAAATTAATTATTTGTATTTCGGGCTTTTCCATTTCTCTCTCGCTCCTAAGACTAACCGGATTCAAGTGCTCTGATGATTAATTAGAACGCTTTTGATATGTTTCACCAACTTCGCTGATAGGGCCTGTAACTGTATTACGAGAATTTCACCAAACTGAAAATCTAATTATTAAATCATAGAACCTATTTTGTACACTGTTGTTTATCTAGCTAAGTATTGAATGAAAGATTCTTCTTGGCAAGAAATATGGTAGATACCCTCGATTCTAGACATGAAAGTATTTTCATAAAGATTGTGGCATAATGGTCACTATCTAATGTAAGCACCACAAACGTCTTCTATATTTTTTCCTTGTTCCTCCTCTTTGTCTTCATCTTCTTTCATCTGCTGTGTCTTTCAAAATGTAAAAGATCATGGCTTTCCACAACTTCCTATTCAAGCAATGTTTGTTCCCCTTACTATCCTTCCTCGTTCCACTTCGGACATCGTTAGGTAGATTACTCAGTTTCTGTTTTGCTCTTAATCTATCTTTTGAGTATTAAATACTCCATTTCTACTTTCCACATTATGTGACATAGAAATTTAAAGTGTGTCTTTATAATTCTATGTGTGTAATGTTTGCATTTTCCCTAAAACTTCCTCGATGATTATATGTTCAAACTAAACTCAATGTAGATTTATTATTTATAATCTTTGTGTTTAACCTGGTTAATATTAATAATAATAATGAAATCAAAATTTAAAAATGTAGCACATGAGAACTTCAGTAATCTTTGTTGTAGTTGGAATCCTCAGATTGATTGGAAAAGATTCCATTAATCTCATTGAAGGGATCCCTTGTAGACCATGGCTTAAAGAAAAAAAAAGTTCTAACGATTAGGCCCACACCTTACGAAGGGCTTATCTATGTAATATATGTGTTTTTATATAATTGCTCAGTGGAAAATGACATGACATTTCTGACTTTAAGTCTCTGGGCAGGACCCGGAAAAAATGAGTACACACCAGAAATCAAAGAAAATAATAATAATAAAGTTATTCTAAAATTAATAATAACATAAATTTAATCAGTAAGTTTTTTTGTTTTGTTTTTTTTTCTTTCTTTTAAGTTATACGTAACACTTACAATATTACTATATTCTTTATGTAGATAATATACTACAGTTTTTAATCTTCTTAACTGGGGTGTTTCTTCTTTTTCTTCATCTTCTTCTTCTTTTTCTTCTTCTTCTTCATCTTCTTTTTCGTCTTGCTGTTGTTGTTCTTCTTCTTCTTCTTCTTCTTCATCTTCTTCTTCTTCTTCTTTGCCATGTCCCTTTAGGGCGTTGGCAATCATGGTTCTTAACAATTTTCAGTTCATTGTAGATCACAGTTCATTATATCTTGTTGCTCTCTCTCTTCTAAACCTTGTTCTGCCATATATTCACTCATCCTTTCCAGGTGGGTTATGCGCCGTTTTCGACTGTCTTTTTGCTGTTAATATGTCTTCTATCAAATCTTTCAAACCCAGAGAAATTTTAACTCTCTCTGTCTGATGTTAAGTAAAAGAGTTCTTTTTGTTTCCATTTTATCTAAAACTTCGTCATTAATCGTTGTTTAACCCTTGGTATTCTCAGCATCCTTCTGTAGAACCACATTTCTATCGCTTCAAGTTCCTTTGTAATTTGCACGGAGATGGTCTAGCATTCGCTGCCATATATGATTTCTGTACTCTTCCTTGTTTCTAATGAAATCTTCTTGTTTCTTAATACTTAGCTAAGCTTTTTGGAGGCATCTTTATCACAATGAACCTTTGGATTTCAATGTCAGATTTCCGCCCTCTGTTAAAACACTTTCAATATATTTAAATTATTGTACTTGAATGATAACGTCATCTTTAATTTATAAATTATGTGATTGTTTTTTTGGTTTTTTCTTCCTTGTGCCGCCAACCATATATTCTGTTTTCCTGCAATTAATTTTTCACTCATTTCTTCCCGCTTTCCTTCATTAAATAGTAGGAGTTCTTTTAGTATGCTTTCTGTGTCTGCTAGTAACACTATGTCATTTGCATATCTTATGTTATTAAGATTATGTCCACCAATAATGAATACAAGTAGGATTTCTAAACCTCATATAAATCGCTTCACTGTATTGGTTGAATAAGTCCGCTCAGAAAACACATCCTTGTCTTCCATCCGTTTCTATTTTTGTATATTTACTGAATACTTTTCATATCCGTGTCCAAACGTTTTAACTCCCACTTATTAATCTTCATCTCTGGGCCATTTCTGATCATTTTAGCGCTTCAATTATTATAAATAAAAATAGATTAGGTGTACCGGTGATTTACAATTTCAATATCAGTAAATTTACTTATTTTGTGATATTCTTTAACGGAAATATCTATTCTTTGATGCCACAATCATATCTATGCGAAGGAATGTTTACTTTGTTGCCTTTAAGCACCCTCCCTGTTTTATTATCGTTTACTTTTGATTGTCAATTGTAAAATAATTTCCAAAGAATAACATATCCATGGTTGGACAGCCAAAAGTAATATGAATCTATCTCTAATACAACCCAAAATTACAATGGAAACTTTTTATAGATATACATAATACAGATATATAGATAGACGAGTAGATATATATGAACAGACTGATAGATAGATAGATAGATAGATAGATAGATAGATAGATAGATAGATAGATAGATAGATATTAGGGACAGAGTGAGATAGTGTTGTAACCTAGGGAATGTTACTGAATAGAATAATCACACGAACGTTGGTAATGAACGATAATACTTATGACAAGAACAACACATATAAGATTCGCCAGCGCTGTGTAGAAGAAGTAGTCAATTGCTAGAAGTCAGTCAAGTGAATTCAATTATGAATCTCCAACTGCAGACCAACATACAACATTTACTACTGCATTTAAGTGAATGGAAACATACCCATTATCGTCTGTAGGTATGCTACAATAGATAGATAGATAGATAGATAGATAGATAGATAGATATGAACAGACTGTGAAAGATATGGAGAGGAATAGAGATATGAACAGACAGTATAAGATAGATAGACAGATAGATATGATAAGACTGAAATAGATAGATATGACCAGAATGTAAAAGATAGAGATATGAACAGACAGTAAAAGATAGATAGATAGATAGATAGATAGATAGATATATATGATAAGACTGAGATAGATAGATAGATAGATAGATAGATAGATAGATAGATAGATAGATAGATAGATAGATATTAATTAAGGAAACGATGGGTCAAGCGGAAGTAGTTGCTGCAATTAAATTGGAGTGTCGAATAAAAAAGATTCGGATATGAAATGCCGATGGGGACAAAAGAAAGTACATAGCCTTCTTCCGATATCTGCCAATGAACGTCGAATCTGTCATTCGAATCGATTAGATGTACGAGGGGCGTGTCGGGAAATTGAGAATTCCAAGCAAATATGCACTGTTGGAGACAGTTTTGTTAACACTCTGCACGAGGTAATGACATCTGTCATGTAATTCGAGAAGTGCTGAGAAGTTCTCGGCTAGATCTAAATCCCCAAATAGGATCAAGGAAATAAAAATCTGTTCGATCCCCTTTCGTTGGTACAAGAATTTATGTTTTTCTTTATCTGTATATTAACTGAGATTGCGTTCCGCAAAAATAAAATGTTAACCATTGAATCTTGGGTGGAAAACGATTTTAAAGTCAATCAATTATTGCAATTAAATCGCCTAGTATCAAGAGATAAGCAAACAAATAGAATTAAAGTCTCGACTAATCTTTCTTGATTAGGAGTTTCGCGGATATAGTGTCCATATGTTGTGAATCATCGATTTTTGCGCGAATTTATATTTTTGGCTGCTTTAACGTATGCGTAAAATTTGATATATATATATCCTCGTTTATATTTTATTGAGAAAAGAGTGTCTAGAGGTTTTTAAACGCATTTTGAATTCAAGAGAAGCAAAAGGAAATAATGAATAACCTACTTACCGAGTGTGTGAATAAATTGTAAACGAAAGAGGATTGATAAAGAGTCAAATTTTCATAGAGCAACACAAGATAGTAAGTTTGGGAGAGCCATAAGCGCCTGTATCATGAAGAGATTTTTACTATAAAGGTGGTCCGTGTTTTATCTATTCGTATCTATGCGTGCATGCGTGCATGTTCTCAGTTGTGTGTGCGTATATAGCGAAGGGTACTAGGTATGTATATCTTTTATTCATCAATTAGACTGGTTTGGCTTGTTTTGTTTTATGGCATATTAACTTCAATGGGTCATTTAATGCTGACAACTTTTTTTTCAAGGTAATATTTTTGTTTTGTCAAAAATCCATTTCTGTTAATATTTTTTTCCTCAGAAATGTATAGCTGGTAATATTATTTTTCAAAAAACGTATAGCAAGTAATATTATTTCAAAAACATATAGCTGGTAATATTTTTTTCCTTCAAAAATTTATATCTGGTGATAATTTTTTTACGAAGTATTTCTGGTATTAAAAACTATTTTTTACACTTTTATAATGCCTTTTACCTCAGTTTCTGGGTTAACTATCTGCCTAAGGGATGGGACCCCAACAGTTGCCACTACCCCGGTTCAGGGTGGACCCGGGAACACCAGCACTCAAGAGGAGGCTCCACGCTCCTAAAAGCCTCCTGCTCAGAGGCCTTGATGTTAGACGTAGTTTATCGTCTTACCCCAGACGCGGATGTAGTTTATCGTCATACCCAGGACGCATCAATTAGATAGATACCATTTACGATATTAAGAATGCTTCGAATGGATCTGCAGAGTTAAAGGTTTAATGATAGACTGAAATATAGAAATCGGGGTAAGTGAATTATAGTGCCGTTCGGTGTTATCTAAGATCTTTTACCCTCCGTCCAAATTAAATCGAAATTTTGACCCGTCTAAGTGCTGAGGTCTTAGAAGTAGATTTCTGCGTTAAACTTAAAAGAAGGAATGTCGGCGTCCTTTGCTAATTCCAAACCCGGATGCCTTTCAAGACAATAATTTGCACAGAAATGGAAAGATTCATTCAGAAATTACCTACATATTTTCGCTTCTTCAATAATCCTAAAACAAATAATAGAATTTATATTATGCCTCTTCTGCATTAAAGAAATTATTGATTGTATTCCCGTCAAGGCTGGCGATGGAGTTAAGACATGTAACCTGGCTCCACCTGGATAGGTTAATTAATTATGAGAACGTGGTTTGCATACGTGCTCAATCGGTATTGTCTGACGATGACTGTTGGACACCAGTGACGAATATTTTTCAATATGGCTGGTGACAGGACGGGACGCAAGAGAAAAAAAAGATTTAGGCCTTTCCTAAAACCTAAGAGGTCGCTTTTACTTTTTTCCTTAAAGAGTTGATATTTTCATTTTTTTTTAGTGTGAATTGTTGGAGTGGCTTTTAACATAAGAATCGGAAACAACAAACCGACTTTCCATCTGCCCTTTTCAGTCAACTGAATCTAGAGGTCTCGTCACTTGTATGCCTTATACAAGCTACACTTTTGTCAAAGTCAAGAATAAAAATAGAAATATCCATTGCACCCATTGTAAACATTAATGGAGACTAATCATTTTCAAAATTAACCCTTTGAGCCCTGCGTTCCTGAACAATTTTAACCCTTCTGCCTGAGATCCTGAGTCAAAATTTGCAAACAATTGGTATGTAATATTTCATGGTAGATATAAAAATAGTTGCAAAAAATCTAAGCATTATACTTAGAAGGGAGAGAATATGATTGCATGCCTTCACTTTATCGCCAGAATTCTTTCTTTGTGTCCCAGTCTACCCAAATTGGACAACCAATAGCAAAACACGACGCAAGTGTTTACCACCGTTCAACCGGTGGCTGAGTATTAAGTAATTTTTCTCTACCACCGGTAAAGCTGTGGTCAGGGTTCAAAAGTTTAATGAAAGTTACATTATGGTGGAAATGGGGAATTAGTTTTGTGCAGTGATTTTTGGATTCAATGTTCCTTAATTAGGATATTAATTTATAGGATACAGATTTGTCAAGTACATTATAGGATAGACATATTTACCTAGTACATTATAGGGTAGACAGACTTTCTTCATACATTATAGGATAGACATGTTTACCTAGTAAATTATAGGGTACACACACTAGCTTGTTATGCTATAGTGTAGGTAGACTTGCTTAGTAAAGTATAAGGTAGACAGATTTGCTTAGTACGTCATAGGGTAAACAGATTTGTTTAGTATTTTATAGGGTAGCCAAACAGGTTGAGTACATTATAAGGTAGAAGGAATTGCTTAGAATCTTATGTGGTAGACAAATTTGCTTAGTACATCATACAGAAAATTAATTTGCTTAGTACATTATATGATAGACAAATGTGCTTAGTATAAGATAGTCAGACTTGATTAGTACATTATAGAGTAGAAATATTTGCTTAGTACATAAAAGGGAAGACAGACCTGATTAGTACATTATATGGTAAAATAATGTGCCTAGAATACTATAGTGTAGACAGATTTGCTTAGTACTGTATAAGCTAAAAAGATATGCATTATACATTTTTGGTGAAAAAATTTGCCCAGTACATTATAGGGTAGACTTATTTGCTTTGCATATTATAGGCTAGACAGATTTGCTTAGTACATAATAGTGTAGAGACACTTACTAAGTATACTACAGTGGAAGAGTATTCGCCTAGAACATTATAGGGTAGACATATTTAATTAGTACATTATAAGGTAAACAGTTTTACTTAGTACAGTGTAACCCGGATATAAGAGAGTTGTCGGGACCGGATAAGAAGTCTCTTATATCCGTGTTTCTCTTATATCCGTGTTTCTCTTATATCCGGGTTACACTCTATATTGTAGATTATTGGCGGAATATAATAACATTTAGAAAGGCATAGCGTTTACAATGTATTGGTAGAAAGTGAATATTAATAATTTCAGTTAGAATTCGAACCCACATTTTTAGGGCTGTAAAACGGGAAGTAATTCAGCATTTCTTTCAGTTTTATCGTAAAAAACAAACGATTACGTATGATACACATAGTTTTTCATCGCTCTCAGAGGTTATATTAAAAAGGAAATGACGTCAAATTTGGGGAGAAAATATTTTTTGCTAATATTGCACCAAATATTCGACCTGTAGAATCCCGATGAAAAAAAAATAGTTTTCAAAAATATATTTTGTAGATGCTGGTTTTACATGTGTCTGGAATTCCTGATTTGAAGATCAGCGGTCCAAGATTTAAAGACAAATATAGAAAGAAGGACGATAAGAAGAGTGTTTCTTTTTTTATAGGGAGAGGAATAAAAAAAGAAGGCCAAAGGAAATAGAAACAATGAGAGGAATAATGAAAGCTCTCTTTATTTTTCTTGTCAAAAGTGAGATAGATAGAAAGATGAATAGACTGAGAGGGAAAAAAAGAAAATTTATATACATCAGGTGATTGGCAGCGGTGAGAAGTATGCATTTGTTTAGCTTAGTCTGGCACAAGGACATGTTATTTAGGTAACTAGTTAGGATTGATTTTACACACATGCAAGTTTTGTTCCTCGCACTATAACAGGCGTTATTTACTAGGTTTAATTTCGTCTGGGACAATGTTAATTATTTAGCAACCAATCGAAAAAAATAGGATAAAATATCATCACGAGAGAATTTGAGATATGAGAAAAACTTTATATTTTTTCTTAGTCCAGTAAAGGCTATCAGTGCACCCAATGAGGATTGAAGTTATTTCACAAGGAAACTGGCCTACGAAACGAGCTAAGAATCTAACAAGAAGCATCATTATTCTTTGACTAATCTTAGTTTAGTTTGACACAAGGACATATTAATGAGCATTTAACCTACTAACGAAATAATCAGTTTGCAAGACGATTTTTTTAATTATCATAGTAGGTGCTCTAGATACTTACTAAATATTTTATTGTTTTGGTGCAGGATTATGATATTTGTACGAACAAGAAGAATCAAACGAGGTCCGAAAAATAAGTTATAAACATATACTAATTATATAAATAAAACTTTGCATACATTTGCACAACGAGAGACCGAAAGAGACAGAGAAATAGATAGCGAGAATGAGAAAGAAAGAACAGAAGAAATACAATAAGAAAACGAAAGAAAAAACTCAATGAGAAAGAAACAAAGAACAAAAGAAACAAAGATAGAAAGAAAGAAAGAAAAAAGAAAGAAAGAAAAAAAAGATTAAGGAAGGAATGAAAAACGAAAAGAAAATTAATGGGAAAGAAACAAAGAACAAAACGAAACAACGTAAGAAAGAAAGAAAGAAAGAAAAGAAAAATAACGAAAGAAAATTAATGGGAAAGAAACAAAGAACAAACGAAACAACGTAAGAAAGAAAGAAAGAAAGAAAGAAAGAAAGAAAGAAAAAAAGAAAAGAAGTAGGAAGAAACGAAAAAAAACGAAAGAAAATTAATGGAAAGAAACAAAAGAACAAACGAAACAACGTAAGAAAGAAAGAAAGAAAGAAAGAAGGAAGAAATGAAAACGAAAGAAAATTAAAGGGAAAGAAACAAAGAACAAACGAAACAACGTAAGAAAAAAAGGAAGAAAGAAAGAAAGAAAGAAAGAAAGAAAGAAAGAAAGAAAGAAAGAAAGAAAAAGAAGTAGGAAGAAATGAAAAACGAAAGAAAATTAATGGGAAAGAAACAAAGAACAAACGAAACAACGTAAGATAGAAAGAAAGAAAGAAAGAAAGATGTAGGAAGAAATGAAAAACGAAAGAAAATTAATGGGAAAGAAACAAAGAACAAACGAAACAACGTAAGAAAGAAAGAAAGAAAGAAAGAAAGAAAGAAAGAAAGAAAAAAGAAAAAGAAAGAAAAGAAATGAAAAACGAAAGAAAATTAATGGGAAAGAAAAAAAGAACAAACGAAACAACGTAAGAAAGAAAGAAAGAAAGAAAAAAAAAAAAGAAATGGAAGAAATGAAAAACGAAAGAAAATTAATGGGAAAAAACAAAGAACAAACAAACAACGTAAGAAAGAAAGAAAGAAAGAAAGAAAGAAAGAAAGAAAGAAAGAAAGGAAGAAAAACGAAAAACGAAAGAAAATTAATGGGAAAGAAACAAAGAAAAAACAAACAACGTAAGAAAGAAAGAAAGAAAGAAAGAAAGAAAGAAAGATGAAAGAAATGAAAAACGAAAGAAAATTAATGGGAAAGAAACAAAGAACAAAACGAAACAACGTAAGAAAGAAAGAAAGAAAAAGTAGGAAGAAATGAAAACGAAAAAAATTAATGGGAAAGAAACAAAGAACAAACGAAACAACGTAAGAAAGAAAGAAAGAAAGAAAGAAAGAAAGAAGGAAGAAATGAAAAACGAAAGAAAATTAATGGGAAAGAAACAAAGAACAAACGAAACAACGTAAGAAAGAAAGAAAGAAAGAAAGAAAGAAAGAAAGAAAGAAAGAAAGAAAGAAAGAAAGAAAGAAAGAAAGAAGTAGGAAGAAATGAAAAACGAAAGAAAATTAATGGGAAAGAAACAAAGAACAAACGAAACAACGTAAGAAAGAAAGAAAGAAAGAAAGAAAGAAAGAAGTAGGAAGAAATGAAAAACGAAAGAAAATTAATGGGAAAGAAACAAAGAACAAACGAAACAACGTAAGAAAGAAAGAAAGAAAGAAAGAAAGAAAGAAAGAAAGAAAGAAGTAGGAAGAAATGAAAAACGAAAGAAAATTAATGGGAAAGAAACAAAGAACAAACGAAACAACGTAAGAAAGAAAAAAAAGAAAGAAAGAAAGAAAGAAAAGAAAAGGAAGAAATGAAAAACGAAAGAAAAATTAATGGGAAAGAAACAAAGAACAAACGAAACAACGTAAAGAAAGAAAGAAAGAAAGAAAGAAAGAAAGAAGTAGGAAGAAATGAAAAACGAAAGAAAATTAATGGAAAGAAATGAAAAAAATGAAACAACGTAAAAAGAAAGAAAGAAAGAAAGAAAGGAAGAAATGAAAAACGAAAGAAAATTAAACGGGAAAGAAAAGAAAGAACAAACGAAACAAAAGAAAGAAAGAAAGAAAGAAAGAAAGAAAGATGTAGGAAGAAATGAAAAACGAAAGAAAATTAATGGGAAAGAAACAAAGAACAAACGAAACAACGTAAGAAAGAAAGAAAGAAAGAAAGCAAAAAGAAAGAAAGAAAGAAAATGAAAACGAAAGAAAATTAAAAAGAAAGAAAAGAAAAACGAAACAACGTAAGAAAGAAAGAAAGAAAAAAGAAAGAAAGAAAAAAAGAAATAGGAAGAAATGAAAAAAAAAAAAAATTAATGGGAAAGAAACAAAGAACAAACGAAACAACGTAAGAAAGAAAGAAAGAAAGAAAGAAAGAAAGAAAGAAAGAAAGAAAGAAGTAGGAAGAAATGAAAAACGAAAGAAAATTAATGGGAAAGAAACAAAGAACAAACGAAACAACGTAAGAAAGAAAGAAAGAAAGAAAGAAAGAAAGAAAGAAAGAAAGATGGGAAGAAATGAAAAACGAAAGAAAATTAATGGGAAAGAAACAAAGAACAAACGAAACAACGTAAGAAAGAAAGAAAGAAAGAAAGAAAGAAAAGAAAGAAGTAGAAAGAAATGAAAAACGAAAGAAAATTAATGGGAAAGAAACAAAGAACAAAACGAAACAACGTAAGAAAGAAAGAAAGAAAGAAAGAAAGAAGTAGGAAGAAATGAAAAAAAGAAAGAAAATTAATGGAAAGAAACAAAGAAAAACGAAACAACGTAAGAAAGAAAGAAAAAAGAAAAGAAAGAAAAAAAGAAAGAAGGAAAGAAATGAAAAACGAAAGAAAATTAATGGGAAAGAAACAAAGAACAAACGAAACAACGTAAGAAAGAAAAGAAAGAAAGAAAGAAAGAAAGAAAGAAAAAGAAGTAGGAAGAAATGAAAAACGGAAGAAAATTAATGGGAAAGAAACAAAGAACAAACGAAACAACGTAAGAAAGAAAGAAAGAAAGAAAGAAAGAAAGAAAGAAAGAAAGAAAAAGAAGTAGGAAGAAATGAAAAACGAAAGAAAATTAATGGGAAAGAAACAAAGAACAAACGAAACAGCGAAAGAAAGAAAGAAAGAAAGAAAGAAAGAAAGAAAGAAAGAAAGAAAAGAAGTAGGAAGAAATGAAAACGAAAGAAAATTAATGGAAAGAAACAAAGAACAAACGAAACAGCGAAAGAAAGAAAGAAAGAAAGAAAGAAAGAAAGAAAGAAAGATAGAAGTAGGAAGAAATGAAAAACGAAAGAAAATTAATGGGAAAGAAGGTAACAACTAAAAAAATAAACAACTAAAGAACGAGGATGAAAATGAAAAATAGAAAGAAAGAAAAATGAAAGAAAAAAGATTAAAATAAATGAAGAAAAATAATTAAGAATGGGAAAGAACGAAAGAAAGAATGAAAATTATCTTTTTACAGTAATGGCCATTCGGTACAAGGCCCAAGAGCCACTCGAGGTAGACGGTTACAGAGTAAGAGGCACAGTTGATGGAGATATGTGCGGTAGGATGAGAAAGAATGAAAGAAAGCGAATGAAAAAAGAAACAAATAATAAATAAAGAAAAACAAAATAATGCAAAAGAATTAAAGAAAGAACGGGAATGAGAAAAAAGGAAAGACAGAAAAAATGAAGGAAGAAAAAGAATGAAACATCGATTAATATATATATATATATATATATATATATATATATATATATATATATATATATGTGTGTGTGTGTGTGTGTGTGTGTGTAACTTGTTCTAGTTGAAGAAAGGGAGGAAGAGAAATTATTCAGCGAAAGATGATGAAAAATAAATTGAAGAAAGAGAAAAGAAAGAGAAAAGGAGCTGGATAAACAGTGACATCTTGTTAATAGGAAAGATTAAAAAGAAAAAAATATTCTCTGGGGAAAATTAGCTGTAAAAGACTAAAGAGAGAAAAATAAGACGTTTGGAGTGCGAATGAAAGGAAAAGAAATTAAAAAAAAAAAGCTAGAAAAAGAAAGAATGGCGGAAAAGTGGATTAGACCGAGGCAATTCTAATCAAATTTCCTTTCCCAACCTAATAATAAGCAACGTTTATCGTGTTGCCATGTCATTGTTACGTTAAAAAAGGTGTCATTCCCTGAATTGCTACGCTGTAATCCTTTATTTATAAGGAGGACCTTAAGAAAAATGTCTTCATCGTTCGTGAGGAATATGTCTTCGTTACGATTACACCTGACAATTGTTTAACTTTACCGACCTTTACCACGAAATATACTGTTAGGCATATGATATTTGCTCTGATTCCAGTTAAAGGACTGAGAAGAAAAAAAAAACATCATCTCAAATAAATCTGGATTCAAATATTGACACCAATCTTAGAATCGAATTTTAATCAAACCTTAGGATTTGTTAGGTACGTGAAGGACATTTTTTGTTGTTGGATTGAGGCTTAATTATATTTTCTTCTTAATTCTTGTTTTCTTTTTTTGTTGTTTTTTTTTAAATATTTTGTTTTGTTTTGGTGGAAGAGATGTAACAAGCATAGTACCCATAAAAAGAGCATAGTACCCATAACAATAACTAGAACAAAGTGTCTCTCCGCGACCCTCTAAAAACAAACATATCTAACGTTCAATTCAGGAACAAAACACCTTCTAACCAGGATCAGGCGTGCTTTTTAGAAGCGTGTCAAAGCATGAACCTTTAACCGGACCTCTACCAAAGATCATATTCCTTTCTGCTTAGGACCAAAGTGCCATTCTTCCAAGGATCACTTTAGAATATCTATTCCCTAACTAAGATAAATTCCCTAAACTAAATATATCGTTCAGGAAAGGCAAAAATTGTTTATAGATATTGTAATACTAAATTTATTCACGCATAACGAATTTAATACAAGTTTACACTTACACACACACACACACACACACACACACACACACATATATATATATATATATATATATATATATATATATATATATATATATATATATATACAGACATATTTACCAAAAATTACACAAAAATATCTTGAAATAATAAAAATAATTTTATTCAATAAAATCATTTCGAAAACTCCTGCAACTCTACTGGGCGGTCTCCTTGTTTAAGTTGGGGATGGCTGCCATAATCCTTGCCTTCAGTTCATCTTTGGTGTTACAAGCAGTTTTGTTGCTCCGTCGTTCATCTGCGCCCCACACATAATAATCAAGGGGTTGCAGTCTTGGAGTTAGGTGGCCAGATGTAAGAGGTGATGTGGTCGCAGAAATTGTCTGACAGCCATGACTGTGTTCTCCTGCTTGTGTGAGATTGTGCAGAGTCTTGTCTCCAGATATAGGGTCTTCCAGAAGCCACCCTCTTGGTCCTGAGTAGCACTGTCTCCTCAAGACAATTGATGTATGCCTCCATGTTGAGTTTGACGCCCTGCGGGAAGATTAATCGAAATATCACCTAGCCATCAATAGTGATCATTCCAAAAACATCACTGCAACCTACAAAGGCACCAGGTTTAAGCTAAATCTACCTCCCCAGCAGCTGACAATCACATGGTGCCGTTTCACTTTGGGTCATAGATGAATCAGGTCCGTTTGAATCTGGAATCCTAAAAATGGCTTCTCCATGTCAGGAGTATCTCCATATTTTATGTAAGATCATTCCTTTTTTTCCTCCTAAAACTTTGTTTTGCTGTGTAGATATCGGTTCTCCGTGTGGAACACGTGTATATATGTGTATAGTTTTGTGTTTGTGTTAGTATTATAAAAGTCTCTCTGAGAACAAAACATGTTTGTCATTCTTTTTCCTTTCAACCCTTCTGTCTCGTTCGTGAATTGCGGGGTTATTATAACACGGATGTAATAATGCCTATAATAGGAGAAATATAAATAGGAGAATAAATCTTTTTTTTCAAACGCTTCTATTACGTTTGTATAGATAATAACAAAGAGGGATGTAAATGACATCACTGTACTAATAAATATTTAAAGCTACACTCCGTACTTTTCAACACATGGCCATTCCCAGATAGTTATTGGCAAATAAATATAGTCTATGTTAAAAATACTGAAACTTCATCAACAACACGTTAGGTCACGAAACATGATTTAACACTCCATTACATACAACTCCCTTTATTTAAGATGACACACTCTCGTTCTCTCTAACTCTATCTATCTATCTATCTATCTATCTATGTGTGTGTGTGTGTGTGTGTGTGTGTGTGTGTGTGTGTGTGTGTGACATTATATTCCTTTCACTTTCCTCCCTAGACGCTTAATGCAGTTCGACTTTCCTAAGTCTGTAACAAATTGGCAGGGATAAGATTATAATAAATACAATGACGCGATAAACGTAAATGGGAGAATAAATCTTTCTTCCTTAGCTCTCCTCTCCTTACATTCAAATTCATTAAATTCATTAATATTTCTATGAACTGAACGTTCATAGAAATATTAATGAATTTAATGAATTTGGCCGCCAAAAAGAATTACTCAACCTTGGGCCTAACTGCCATCTTTAGAGACAATACAATAGGTTGGATAAAAAAAAAATGAAATTGAAATGTTATATAAAAAAATACAAAAACTTAAAGAACAAGTAATAAAAACAAAACCAGAAAATTTTGATCTGCTCAAATGGGAAACATGACGTGACAAAAAATTAATAAAAAGAAAACTCGTCCAAGCTCCAACAACCCCCACATAAAAAAAAACAATTAAAATCGTAACCAAAGAGCTACGTTACCATTCTCATATAATTCTAAAAAATACAAATAAAACCAACATCTTGGTTGTATTAAATAAATCTGATTATAATTCAAAATTACAACAAATACTAGACGATAACACCAAATTGTAAAAAGTTAAAAAATAAACTATAAACCAAACTAAAATTGAAACTCAACTGATCATAGTCAACAATGAAGAAAAAGACAACTTAAAACTTCCCTAAAAAATTGGTGACGACAAACCAAGATTCATTTCTTAAAATAAATAACCCTAACTTTCTTCTCTGTTCTATCATCTCCCAAAACCCCATGCCGGTTTATCAATTAATCAAAATATCTCCACGACCCTTAAATATTTCTTGGTTATTGTAACGGAATGCCTATGTCAATGTATATGGCTGTATGTACGTGTCTTTATCGGTGTCTGTGTGTATGATAACTGGGAGGCTCCTTTCGTTGTGCATGTATGTTTTTTTTTGGGGGGGGTTGTAAAGGGTCGTGGAGATATTTCCTGTCTCGTCACTTTTTTTGTGTGTGTATATATCTAAATACGTCTGCGCGCGTATGTATTATAATCTGATCGTGTATGTATTGTCTTTTGCAAGATGTCATCCTCCCCTACTTATATTTAGAATTCAAATGTATCTATGTTGTCATGAAGCTCTGAAAAATATTTGATATTAATGTTTATTCCAACTTAATTTCAATAAAAACAAAATAAATAGAATAACATGTATTTTTCTTTTTTCCTCAGTAATTTTGTAATTTTAAACTTAGAAATTAATTTTTAAAATGGGTAATTTTATTTTTTTATTTCAAATTTTATCGTATAATTTAATATTTATTAGACTAAATTCTATTTTATTCCAAGCCCAACATTAAGGCATTAAATAGTTAAAACCTTAGTTCGTTGTCAAGTTTTTTTTTGAATTCTCGTATACTTGTATTTTGATGAGTCATTCCAGCTTATGTAACAGCGTTTCCCCTTGAGAGGGGCGGTTAATTGAATTGAACCTTTTAAACCTCTTTATTCTATATTCAACATCTTCACTTGATAAGACACCAGAGGTGTTGAAACGAAATGGCTATTTTTGTTGTGATTTTATAACATATTTATGTTATAATTTTGAATAAATAATTATATATATATATATATATATATATATATATATATATATATATATATATATATATATATATATATATATATATAAAATAATAGAAATCCAAAATTACCTCATGAGGACAGCTATATCAGCTAGTGTTAGTATGCTAGTATTTTTTTTAACACAAATGATATGTTAACACAAATCTGACCCAAATTTAAATACACTATCCCAAATTGGGGTTATGAAAAAAAGAACCTTTAAAATCTGGGTCACATTTGTGTTAACTCTTTCTAATTAAGCCAGACAATATCTGCCTCAACTTACCACTATACAGGTTTTGTTTGGTTGACTCTATCTTATTATTAGTTGCGTTTTCTTATTTTTTTAAATATTTAATTTTTAAGTTTCTAACTTTTTATATGCACTCCATTTGAGTTGAAAAATACTAGCCTGTTAACACTAGCTGAAATAATTATTCGCATCAGGTAATTTTGGTTTTATTTATTTTGTAATTTATATGCTCTGTTATAATAAATACTTTGAGTTCTTTTTGTGGATCAGTTTTAATATTTCATATTATTAGGATCCACTTGGATTATATACCAACGGATTATTACCCTACTATAATTATATATATATTGTGTATATTTAGGCAGCAATTTTTCATTGATATATGTTTCATTAAATAATATTGACAAGTTGTGTCTATTTATTTTAAATAAGTTTCTTTCATATTGTCTGATAAGCTTAATAACATTATCATTGAAAATCCTCGTTGAAAACACAACTATACTTAAACATGAAAACAATAAACAAAGACTAAAAATAGTTGAAGCTATATACATAAAACAGTTGAAACCTAACCTGAACAAAATAAACTACGAAATCTCCACAAATATTCTTAAATGCCTATAATTGATAACTGAAGCCATTGGTTTATACCAAGGTTTCCCATACTCAATACTTCTCGTTTTCACTCCCGCGTGGTCATGTGTGACGTCACGAGCTGCAATGCGATTTTCGCGTCCTCGTCTCGTATTCACGAGTTTGTCGTTGCATTGAAATATTTCATGCAACAAAAATAGACTAACATTATTTTTTCGCCCGTGTATTATTTGATATATTGAAATATAATTGTCATCTTTGATAATAGCTTATGTAAGCCGAAAGCTTAGATCGGATTTAAACATGTATCAATAAGGTGATTTCCTTTCGACTTTCAATGATAATGTTATTAAGCTTATCAGAGAATATGAAAGGAACTTACTTAAAATAAATAGACACTGTCTATATTATTTAATGAAACATCCATCAATAGAATATATATATATATATATATATATATATATATATATATATATATATATATACAGTAGCGGGCATAATATAAGGAACGGAAACAACAAAGACATACATCTGTGTATTGCTTAAATAGTAATGCATGATTAGCAATGAAATTTTTACCGAAAAAAGATTAGGGTGTAATGCATAAATATTATACAAAGTTACAAAAATTTACATAATAGTTTTTTGTTTTTGTTTTAAATAAATATTAAATGGAACAAAGGAAATAAGCTACTGGACAAAAGTTAA